ATCAATTTCACTTTTGCCTAAAGTAACTAGGATTGGGAATTTGTAAAAGTGTTTAGTTACTTTACATAGATTCGTTATACTTATTAATGAAGAGAGGATTGCCCTATCCTACCCGTTCGGCTAACGACCCTCCACCAATCAAGGAAGCGGTGGGTAAGAGTGGATACCCATTAAACGAGCATTTTATAGGCCATAACCTTATACCCCCCCCCCTTATAGATTGGCTTCGTGAATGAGGCCTACTAATAGTAAGACTAGCATTTTAGTTATACATATACATGTATTAATCTTGTAATACTATAATAGTATAGGGTGTATTTTAACCTTTTAAAATACTAGGTGGTTTAAATTTTATAAATTAAACTTTTAATTAAACATAAACCATATCATTATGGATTTATTAACTCTCTTATAATTATACACTTAATTAATTTAATAAAACCATAAGGGTGTAATTTGAACTTTTCAAAATTAGGGTTTTAGAATTTAGACTTTCGAAATTAACTTTTAATCAAACAATTTAAATTCCAAAACTTGATGGCAGGTTTTTGAACCTTTTCAAACAATTAGGTTTTAATCTCACCTTAAAATTTTCAAAATTTAAGACTATTCAAATTAAAATTTTAAATATTAAAACTCTTGATTTAACAATTATCTTGAATTAAACTATTAATTTAAATTATTAAATCATAAGGGATTATAAAACATAAAGGATAATTACCAATTAAACAATTAATTTATCCTAATCCTTTTAATCCCTCTAAATTTCAAAAATCATGGGATAGGATATTTAAAAATCTTTAATTACCATATATAACCATTAAATGATAATTATAAGATATGGGATAATCCAAATCCCTAAAATTTAGGATCTTATCTTGGGGAGGAGGCTAATCTCGAAAATCCTAGGGTTTGCAAACCCTAGATTTCGAAATCTTGGGACTTAAGGAAAGGATTTGAAAAACCCTTACCAAGTTTTCGCAAATCAAGGTTTAGGAACCCTAATCTCGAAATTTTGCCTCCTAGGGTTTATTGGCTATAAACCCTAATATGTCAAGTTCATACAATTGTATAATACTAAAAGAAAACAAGTTAAACAAAGGCTCTGATATCACTGTTGGGTTTTGAACAAACAATCCTATGTGTGCATGCAACCCTAGATTTAGATCTATGTTTTCACTATTAGATATACAACATTATGAACACATGAGGAACCCCAATATGCTCCTAGGAATTTCGAAATTCATGAGGAAAGATAGATCACATACCTTTTATTGTTATACTGCAATAACAACTCAAATCTTCAAACCCTAAGTCTTGAAAGCAAGTACCACAAGTGTAGTACCTCTAATGGCTCACAAACACCACAAGCAATTAGAGAGGCTATAGAGAGAGAGAGAGAGATGAGAGAGGTTAGAAATCAGCTCTAGGAACCCTTGGGAATCAAGTGGGTGATTTCTTAAGGCTTAGGGTCTTTATATAGGGTAGAGATTAGGGTTTCAGTCCTTATCCTTATCTAGTTGCTTGCCCATCAAGTAACCAAAAGATAAGCCTTGAAAGCCCTTATATTTGGACGATTTCAAGAGCCTTATCTCCCCTGAATTCGTCCACCTCTCCCCTAGGGCATTCATTACCCTAATTTGCAACTATCACATAATTACAATTCAGTCCCTACAGTTTAATTAATTACAGTTGATCACAAAATTAATTCCTAATTAATTATTGACCAATATTAATTAATCAAATATGATTTCTCCTTTAATATATTATTCCTATAATATATTAATAAATGATAATAACCTCTTTCTCTATTGATTCTCTAGTCAAGTTGCTTTGGTGAAGGCAACCCAAAAGGACCATGCACAATCGGGTCAAGTACCTACCAAATATGGTTACGGGCTTAGACACTAATCCAACATATACAACATATTGGAAATCAGGTTCGATCATGCTACACTAAGTGTACACCTTAGTACGCCCCACGTACTCCTCATAATGCCAAAACTCATATTAAGCACTTAATGCTTAAGTCTAAACATCCAAAACACAAATCTTGCACATGGGAAACGTCTTAAATGATAACGTCATCAACTTGATACCTTTGCATGGCTCAAAGAGGCCAAACATGCATTCTTAACACTCTAACTTCATATTAAGACCATCAACTCATGCATGGTTGAGCTTAATCCATCAAGATGCCAGTTTTATGATTCTATAACACCGAAAATACCAAGAAACGACCAATACAAGTTCTGGAGTAACTTCTACTCACAAGAACCAAACCACGGGACCAAAACACACCAAATATAATCCCAAATTTAGATCTAATTTAAAGAGTCATAAAGTTTGAAGCTTTATACCTCCAGAAGCTTGTAAAGGTTAAGAGAGTTTTGGGTCTTCAAGCTTCAAGCAAACTAATCCTCATCCAATGAGCTCTTCTTCTTCAAGATGCAACAAAACACACACCAAAACACACGAAAGGCTCAAATTTCTCTGAAAAGGGATTAAGGTTTCGAGGTAATGCTTTAGGGACACTAGAGGCTGGTAATGAGAGAAACCTTGGGGAATAAGGTGCTTAAATAGGGTCCCAAACCCAAAAATTAGGGTTTGACTCTGACCTGTATACGCCCAATGTACTGGGATGAACCTTCGTGATCACTTAAGCCAAGTATGCCCATTGTACATATCTTATACGCCCATCGTACTAGCCAAATCCTTTTCCCATTCTAACTTCCAAAGGCCATAACTTCTGCGTCCCAACTCTGTTTTCAGTGTTCCTTATATGCTTGGAAAGGTAATGAAAATCCCTACAATCCCATCTAATTTCCTTAGACTTAAAACCTTCTAAACTAAAATCCTTAATTTAAGAAAATATTTGAAGCATCACTTTTACCATTATACCCTTGGACTCTAAAGCATAAACTGAAATCTTGGATCACACAACCTATATAATCTACACCCAGTTGGGTCTAAAACCTTTGAAGTCCAAGGTCCTAACTTCATCCATTTAATACTCATAAATCCCGAAATAAAAAGCTTCTTGAAACCGGATGTTACAATTAGAATTTAAAGGAGTTAAATTCTCTTATGTGTTTGATTGACATGAAATGAAAATTATTTTCTATTTGGTTTTTCAAAATTGTCAAAGTAATTAGAAAGTAAATTATGTGATATAACCAAAATACAATTTTATTGAACTTTTTAAACTTATTATATTTCTAATAAAACGATGAGGCTTTCATTAATTAAATTGGTATCCGGGTAAACCAACGTGGCCTTGCTAGCGTAGGCGTAAGCGAATGGGTGTGGGTGTATATGTAAGGGTGGGCATCAACATCAACTTGTTGTCATAGATGCATGGGTGCAGGTTTGGGTGTATAGGTAAGCATGGGTGTGTATTTGTTGTATGAGTGTGTACATATAAGTGTGTGTGTGGGTGTAGGTGTGGGGGTATGGTAAGGTGGTTGGGTGTAGGAGTGGGTTGGAGTCAGGGTGGATAAGGTGGGGTGAAACAGGGTATGTATATGGGTGTGATTGTTAGGGTATGATGGAGGCGATAAGGTGGGGTAACATGGGCATATATGTATAAGGATGGGGTGGGTGGGTGGATGAATGAGTTGTGGGACAGATGATGATAATTTTTTTTTTTTTTTTTTGATTTGATGAGCATGGCTAAAATAAAGAGGCGACAGAATATTTTTTGTTTTTATGATAACACGTAAGGGATAAAATCTAAAATTTGTGCCCTTAGCCAAATAATAACAAATTCCTTTGGACGCATAATTTAATGGAACTTAAAGAATTCTAATTCTTTTGATTTTCTCAACCAAACACAATTTTTTTTATTGGAATTTACGTTTAAATTCCTCAAAATTCTTTTGATATTTGTGAACCAAACACCCCCAAAACGTCTGGTTGAAAAAGATAAACCGATGGACGGCAGTGGAAGTTGCAACTTTAATTTGAAGCTGGAATTAGTAGTTTCTATTTGTATAGAAATGTTTGACAAAAGTATATGTAAGTTTTTTGAAACATGTAAAATTACATAAAATACGTAAAATAACATAAAAGTAAGAGCATGAGTTTTTATTTAAGGGTAATATAGTAATTTTGTTATAATAGTTATGAATCTTTTCCTTAAACGTTACTTGAAATACTTTTAGATTATGGGTTTTTTGTTTTAAAATAAGCTTCGAGTTCATATTCCTAATTGAAGTCTTTTTAAAACGAAAAGTTCTTAAAAACTTTGAAACACTTGTTGCCCAACATACTGTAAATGAGGACTCCTTTGAGGTACTACAACAAATAGAACCATTTATTTAGAAGATCATACAACTCCATTAATACTCTATCGACAAACCAAATTTATTTATATGAAAAAAAAAAATCAAAACATAACCATTTAACCCTTTACGTTTTTGGCCACTCTTAACTAGCATACGAGAGGTTGTTTGGTAACCTGTGAATAAATCAGATGTTATATCTAAATCGTGTTCGTTACAGCCTCTAAATGACCTCCGAACAAATCAAAATCAAACGCCTTGAAACTGCTTATGAACGGTTAAACAATCTCTTAACCATTAAGATGTTGGAACCATTCAGTTCAACGTTTAAGAAAATTTACCAAACAACCCCTAAATTACACTCGTTACTAAATCTCAAACTAATTTCAATAAACTTGTGGAGCTAAAGCTAAACTCACCACTAAATCTGAAAATAATTTCAATTGTTATGTACAACAATTGTTAGACATCGAGAAACCAAAACCTGATAGATACCTAAGAAATCTTTCTCAAACACATACATGACAAAAATTTCATGGTGAGGTCCATCTCTTTACAGAGAATGGGACTTTTATTAGGGTTTAAAAGAAAGGTAAAAATGTAATTCGGTTTCCAACTTTATTAAGAATTTTTTAATAAATTAGAATGAAACAACTAATTAAAAAAATAATAATAATAATCACCGATATCAAAGCTCAATAAGCATAATCAAAATTGCTCAAATCCAAACTCTGAAAAATGTTGTAAACTAAGAAGCATGTTAAATAAACAAAATCCCAAAGAGTAAAGACTATATAGAAGCCTCAACGCCAAATATGACTTCTGTTGCTTCATTATGTCCTGATTGAATACAACATTATAGATATATATATAATATATGTCATTATGCCCAAAGCAACAATCGGTTTTATACTCTCCAAGAACAACCTAGTTGATAAAGAAAACAGAAATCCCAAATTCCATAATAGAAAGAGATAATTTGAATTACAAAAGACTTGACTTGAGTTGAGATGAAAGATTCAAGCATCTTTTTTGGCATAAAAATAAAGGGCATATGCCAAGAGCATGATGATTATAGGAAGAAGCAACATTAAAATAGTGTTGTTGGATGATCCAGCAGCAGAAGCTTGCTTTGAACCAGAAGCTGAAGGCGGCTTGTAGTACTGTCCTTTCTGTGGCAAAGTGTTGACATCGATATCACCCACGTAGTAATCTTTCAACATGTCCCGCGCATTTTGACTGTGCCCCACATCTTCAAATTCCTCCGTTGCATCTTTCCCTACAAAATTATTATTTTTTATTTTTTTTTTCAAAATAAAAATGTGTTATTATGATATATTTATTAAGAGATAAGAGGAAATGAATTTGTTGTCAAGTGTCCTCTTACTGGTGGCTAACACTAGCACTTCATCACCTCCAGGATGATCATCTAGAAAAGGTGTAATGTCATACACCTACATCACATACAAAAAAAAAAAAAAAACGTCAATTCATCATTTCCTCTGAATCCTCTCTTCAGATTCACACACCTTCTTTTGGGTTTTGTTTGGTTTTATTTTATTTTATTTTATTTTCGAGGCCTAATATATTATGTAAGCCTTTATAAAGGCCATCTTGCTTCATTCTTATCTCCTTTCTTTTTAAATTCTTTTGACAGTTTCAAGCTGTCTTGTTGGTGATGGTGCACACGTAAAGCCTAAAAATAAAGCTTTTTTGTTTTAATAACATAAAATCTAAGATCAAAAACTAATTTTTTATGACTGTAAAAGGTTAAGATATATTCACATACGATGGATAGAAATTATCATCCAACAAGCACAAAATACTTTTTTGTTTTTCTTCAAAAGTATTTTTACTGATCCCCACTACCAATTTGGGCAATGTATTCTATTTTATTATAAGGCTATTACTTATTAGAATGATATTCCGATTTACGAGTTTGTAAACAGTAGAGAATATTGAGGTATGATTTGACCCGTTTTCTATAAAGGAAATCCTTAATTGTATAAATCTGACTTGTTACCAATAAAAAATTTCTCAATTGCGTTGAATTGCCCCCTTGTAATCACGACAAACATCATGCTACCATGCTAAAATTGTGAATCCCTAATCAAGTTTTTGCCCAGAAATACATGCATTTAAATAATTATAAACGCCAAAAAAATAAGAAACGTGATTTCAATTTCAGAAACAAAAGTCAATGTTGAGCCATATCTGATTATCACATGCAATTGGGATGTAAGAGTACTAAATAGCGACAAACAAGCATGATCGGATATTTAAGTTTAGCAAAGAAGTAGAAAACGATTTGTGAAAAGATCTGACCTTTCCTGAAATAACAAGCCAACAATCCTCTTTCGTAGCGTGCTTTGAAACCTCTTCAAGTGAAAGAACTTTGGCCTCTGAACCCATTTCTGATCTGCCGCTACCAACTACGATCCATCAAAAATTTAGGAGAAAGATCGAAATCGTTAGAAGTAAAGCTAAAACAAACCTAAAGATCGAAATCGTTAATTCGATTCCGTATATTCAGTGAGAAATCTAACGATGCGTGAAAAAATAGGTACCAGATTCAGAATATGAATTGTTTGCTCTGGAGCAGCGGAGCAGCCAACCTTTTGCGAAATTCAAGTGGTCACCAAAAACTCAATATAAATACAATACAGTCATCTCGGATCCGGCCCATTAACTTTCTCATAGTTAATATATTTGGGTCGCCTCGTTGCAATATACTAATATATACAACGATTAAATCAATTATTTTATTTTTTCAAGTTTACTCAACTAAAAGCTTTTTGGAGCTATATTGGGTTCTCTAAATCAATTATCAATTATTTGTTTATAATTTATCGCTATTACCTCGAATCTATTTTGGTTGTTAATCCCTTTAAGTTTTTTACATCACACGTTTCTATATATCTTAAATCCAAGTGTTGGTGGATATTTTTTATTTCATTTTAACATTTATATTTAGGAAATTTTCAAAAAAAAATTAAAATTTTGGATGAGCTTATGATCTAATCGTAAATTAAATTTTATTAATGAAAAATATAGAAAACCGGTTATTATAATTATTTTAACCATTTTTTTACCTTTTCAGTAGATTACTGTTGAGGTAACGTCCAAATAGGCTAATGGGCTGACGTGGCATCTTAGGTAACATTCTTTCTTTTACAAAGTAAAAAAAAAAAAAAAGGAAAAAAAAAATATCAGATTTTTAAGGTAAAGGGAGCAGATTCGAATCCTTTACATTTTACTAACAAATCAAACAACTTACCATGTGAACTACAAGCATCTATTGATATTAATTTTTCAAATGTATTTATAAAATCTTAAATCCCCCACACATTAAACCTTGTATTCTCATTTTTTTCATCTCTAAGGTGATGTTTGTTTTTCGTAAAAAAAAAAAACCCTCCTTCAGACCTCTAATTATTGTGCAGCACAGCACACACGCAATACTTTTAATCTTACAGTTGTTTGTTTTCTAGGAGTCTTCAGAGTAAAAAACACATGTGTGTGTTTTGTTTGGTGCAACATTTGTATTACCTCTTTCAACCCCTTCTTCTTCTTTTTTCTTGCTGAAATCTTATTTTAGCTTTTTTTGTGTTTTTTTTTTTGTGTTTTTTTTTTTTTTTTTTTTTTTTTGTTGATTTTTTAATATTGAATAATGATAATTTCTTGATGAAATATCATTATTTTTTGCTAAAATATCATTATTTTTTCTGAAATATAATATATTCTTGCTGAAATGTCATACATTATTAAATTTTTGGTATTAAATATTTTCGGTTTATAAAATCAGTTTATTTTAAATTTTTAATATCTGCAGCAACATGCAGATGTTAAAAAAAACAAACACGCTTCTTATTACAGTTTGCATTTGTTTGGTCTACATCTTCTATTGCAGAGGGTTGCAGAGGTCGTCCGCAGACTTCATAAATTTTTGCTTCCAAAAAACAAACAACACCTAAGTCACCTAAAACCCTAATTCATTTGGAACCTTGAAAGTGACAGCTGTCGGATAACCTATTGTCTTTCGCGTCACCTTCTTCCTCCAACAATTCCTCTCATCCATCGAAGATTCTACATTTATCATTGTTTATCTCCGCTACCATCGACGTCGGATTTGTGTAGTCTACTTTCATTGATGTTATCGTCGTTTATCTCTGCCTCCATTACCGTTGTTATCATCATTTATCTTTACTCCCATTGACGTCATCTTCACTTGTTCTTCTTTTTTGTTCTGAGTTTAAGGTTTGATGCTAATGGTTATTGGTGGTCAGGTGGTCGAACTTGGAACCAAAACGAATTTTCCGACGGTGAAGATATAATGGTGGTTGTTGGAGTTATCGATACAATTATTGAGAAAATCGGAGGTTGCAGACAGACGAAGGGAATAAGAAAGGTTAGGGGGAATAATGAGAATCATTTAATAATTTATCAGGACATTATATACATATTTGAAGAAACAATATCAATAAATGCTTCTAGTTCACATGGTAAGGTGTTTGATTTGTGAATGAGAGGTGAAGGGTTCGGGTCCCTCTCCCACTCTTTTCCCCTAAAAATTTGATCCTTTTTTCCTTGTAAAGGAAGGGTATGTCACCTAAGATGTCATGTCAGCTCAAAAAGTCCATTTAGAAGGCTAAGTCATCAGGTAACCTGCTGAAAAGGGTTAAGGCGATTACAATAGTCAGTTTTCTGTCCTTTTTCATTAATGAAATTTAATTTATGACAAGATCATAAACTGATCCAAAATTTTAGGATTTTTTTTCGAGATTTTCCATTATATTTTTATAGAACAAATTACTTAAATCATCCTTATGATTTGCAAAAATTATATGTTTGATCCCTAATGTTTTTTTTTGTACTCAGACGGTCCCTAAGTTTTGATTTTGTTGCGTGTTTGGTCCATTATAGACATAAAAAGACCATGTTGTCCTTGTACTTCTTTTTAGTTATTTTTAATTTGTTTATTATTTATTAAATATTGAAAATAAATTAAGTGATTTATGAATAAGTGAGATCCACTACCACCACCACTATCTTGCTAAAGGAACCGAAACCACCACCCTTTTTACCTCAGGCAACCACAACCCTTCACTTTCGGAACCCACCATGTATGTTCGTATTTTAAATTTTAGAAACAATCAAACACTAAAATCATAAACAAACCAAACCACCAAAATCAAATATTAAACAACAAACAAGCATTCCAAACAGTGAAACTGATATCAAAACCAAATTTGTTTTCTTATTTGAATTTTAGAAATCAGTGCTTTATTTTAGGGGTGGACCACATATTCATAAATCGTTTAATTTATTTTCTATTTTTAATAAATAATAAACAAATTTAAAAAAAAACTAAAAAAAAGTATAAGGGCAATATGGTCTTTTTCATGTTTGCAAGGGACCAAACACAAAATAAAATCAAATTCTAGGGATCGTCCGATTGAAAAAAAAAAAAAAAAAAAAAAAAAAAAAAAAAACGTTAGGGACCAAACATGTAGTTTTTGCAAACCAAAAGGTCGAATTAGTAATTTGTTCTTTTCTTAAAAATCTTGTACTTTCAATACTTTGTTTTATAAAATAAAACTTTTTATTCTTTTATTTTTTTAGAATGTCTTTTTGACCCATCTATTTTGAACCTTATAAAATATCATTTTCACCACTTTCTTTTCTAAACTTTTGTATTTTTCCCCATAGTATATATGTAACATCCGTTTTCCAGATGGGTTCAGAGTAAGGCATAGAGGAGTCAAAGGCACGATTTTTGGAAAAAAAAAAATGCATGTCACCACGTGACCATGAGGATGTCACATCTGGAGGGTTATCACGATGTGACATATATGTGGTCACGTCGTGAGGTAGGCTACAACATAAGCCCATGATCTTTTAGGGTTTCATTTGTATTTAAGCACCCTATACTTAAATTTAGGGTTCATTATCAGCCTTCATCACCTCAAACTTCATAAACCCTAACCCTATCCACTTTTGGTGGATCTTGGCTTATTTTGGTGGTTTTTTATGCTCTTTGAAGGAAGTAGAAGGATGATTGGTACAAGGATCAAGTAAGCAACATCTTTTCATATTTGATATCACCATTTGGACAATTTGTAAGGATTCAATCTTCTACCTTTGTAGTTTATCCTCTTATATATAAATTGTACAAGTCCTTTTTGGTCCATGGTTTTGATTTGAGTGAAATGATGGAATAAAGTTGGCAACTATATGGTCCTCATGAGTCCCTTGAGTATCATACCATATGGATCTGAGAATTGGATGTGGTTTATGAACCTAGCATGATTTTGTGGTCATTTTCATACCTTATGACCTAGATTAAATAGAGGACATGCATGGAGCATGCATTGATGGGTTTTGAGCATAAAAACAAATTCTTATGTGTTCATGCAACCCTAATGCTTTGGATCTAGGTTGTCACTAATTAAACATGCAAACTTGAATACAAAAGAGAAACCCTAATATGCATCTATATAATCGAAATTAACCTAATACTAAGGTTTAGATACATACCTTAATTGTTATGTAGTAATAAAGATTAATGCTTGTAGATCTTGAACTCTTGAAAGCAAGTGTCTCAAATATGACACCTCTAATGGCTTACAAACACTCTTTGCAAGAGGATAAGAAGGAGAGAGGAGGAGATATATTATAAATTCAGCTCTTCTAGGTTTGGAAGCAAGGTGGCCGAGAATCCAAATGGTTAGGCTCCTTATATACTTAAGGTTGCTTAGTCCCAAAGCTAGGGTTTGCAGGTGGAAACCCTAATTTCCTGCTTAAGGCCTAAGCAACCCATGGACTCCTTATTTAGAAGCCTTGGATGAAAACTTATAGGGCCTCCCTATAATTTTCGTCCACTGCTATCTAAGGAGTCCATGAGCCCAGTTTCACAAATATCAATGATTTGCAAACCAACCCCTATACTTTTAATTAATTCCTTTAGTCCCAAAATTAATTCCAAATTAATTTCTAATTAAATATTAACTAAATAACATGATTTCTAATTAATATATTATTCTCATAACATATTAATAAATCATTCATATCAATTTATTATTCCAATTAATAAATTCAATTTCTTTCCAAAAGTTATTCCGTCAAGTTGCAAGAGTGAAGGCAACCCAAAAGGACTGTGCTACTATCAATTCAAGTATATACCAATTATAGGTATGGGCTTAGACACCTAATCCAACATGCATGTCCATAAATTTATCATTTTTATGAACCTTTGGAGTCCTTTAAAGCTTTCTGGAGAGTGAGAGTTGAAGAATTAATGGATTTAGGACTCAAACCATTAAGTTTTTGCCTCAGACTGTGGTCTCGACGTGACATTGAGGATGTCTTGACGTGACCAAGGAATATTTCGTGATTATATTGTTTTGATGAGTTCAAGATGTGACCAAGGAGGGTTCACGTTTTGATGCTTGTTGAGTGAGTTGTTCGTGATTGGGTTGGCTGAGTTGGTGCGAGACGAGTTGGAATCAGGATCAGTGCGTTCTCACGTCGTGACCAGGGTCGTAACCAAGGGTTGGTTAAGACGTGAGGGTTAACTATTTGTATTATTGGTTGTTGACTTTGATTTTGAATATTGACTTTTTGGTATGGTTGTATTTTGGTCAAATTGTTGGATTCATGTTATAGGTTAAGGGTTTACCTTGTATGTTTTGATATGTGTGTTGTAGCATCGATTTCATAGTGTAGAGTTGTGGTTTAGCTAATTTCATGAGTTAGTTGAATTTTCTCATTATATTGTGTAGGATGCAAGATGTCTTTGTAACTCTTGCATTGTGTGTTGGGCCATTGATATGTATGTTAGGTTGGGCCCATTTGCATGTTGGGTTGGTCCCATTTGTATGCTAGGCTAGGCCCATTGATATATGGGGTTGGGCTTGTTGGTATGATAGGTTGGGCCCGTTGATATGTATGATTTGTGGTATTTTGGGGAACTCACTAAGCTTTTGTTGAATAAGGTGTCTAAGCCCATAACTATAACTGGGATGTACTTGACCCGATGTAACATCCCAAAATTCGAGACCAAAAATTTCGTTTTGATTAATTAAAAACTACTTAATAAATTTTGCTCAATCATTTAATAACATTCTTAATATAACAATTATCAAATTTCTAAATCCCAAAGATAATCTAGTGTGGAAAACATGGTGTGATGCACTGTGATTGCCCCGAGCTCCATCCTTGGAAAAACATTAGTACATGATACAAATAGCTGAAAACCATAAGCACGAAACTTAGTGAGTTCCCCAGATACCACATACCATACATATCAACTTATCCATACATGCCATACATAACCATGAGCCATATATAACAAGCATATCTATAATCAAGTAAGGTGCTATGTGCCAAACATAGTCTTGTTGTTATTCCACGGGCCACATGTGGTCTTCCTGGTCAAGCCTGGGGCCACTCCCTGGGTCTTACAGACAAGTGCCAAGGGCCACCCCTGGTCTTCCATGCAATCATCACAAAGACAACTATACATACTACTCTACTAGGCTACTCATCATATAATGTGTTAGGAGCCACCTCCTGGTCTTTCATACATAAGAACATACAGTGCACCAGGAGTCACCTCCTGGTCTTTCATACATATTGCCTAGGGATAACCCCCGGTTCTTCCTGCCGTACATAAACTAAATGGGTTGGCATTGTGGCCGTAGACCCATACAAATAGTGAGGAGACTCACCTGACACTGCCAAAGATTCATTGAACACTTCTAACTGCTAACCGGAAACTTCTGAACTGCTGACCCTTCGGCTTCCCGCACTATCAATACCCAAAATAACATTTAGATCACAATAATCAAAAAGTCAATGGTTAAAGTCAACATCCAGTTGACCTGACTCGTCGAGTTGGTCTACCAACTCGTCGAGTCCAAACTCCTCCAATCCCAAAACAACCCTCGACTCAACTCGTCGAGTTTAGCAAGAACTCAATGGGTTCTCCTTCAACCATACTATCGGGACCACCTCCAACCGACTCGTCAAGTTCATCCTTGAACTCGTCGAGTTCACCATCCACATATGAATGTGTCTAGCCTGTGACTCGCCGAGTTG